CCCCCATAATTATAGTATTCTATATGACATCTGCATCTTTATAGGAAATTGATACAGCTTTTAATTATTTTAATAAATTCATACTTTTTCTTTTTTGCATATTTGTCGGAGCAAAAGAAACTACTTAGCTGGATATGAAATAATTAAAGATCCATAACAAAATTGAATTGAAGATTGCCATATAAGGTCAAAACTAAATTTTAAAAAAAATTAAGATTTCAATTAAATTGGATTTCATATCAGTTATACTTTCTTATTTGAAAACCTCCCCCTAAACTCACTTTAAAAATACCAAGTGGCTTTTAATAGCTTGCCACTTGGCTTAACCATAATGCTAATTATATATGGTAACTTTATTTCTTTAATAGTATAAGATTTGTTGAGACAAAATAAACTACTTAGCCGGATATGAAACAATTAAAGATCCATAACAAAATTGAATTGAAGATTGCCATATAAGAGTCAAAACTAAGATTTTCATTAAATTGGATTCTATATAAGTTCTATTTTCTTATTTGAAATTTTTTTCCTAAACTCACTTTAAGAATGTCAAGTGACTTTTTAATAGCTTGCCACTCGACTTAACCATAATGCTAATTATATATGGTAACTTCATTCCTTTAATATATATATAAATTTAATTTAATAATAAATAAAAACTAGAAGTTCATATGCTCATACTTATACTTTACCAAAATATCAAGGTATTGTTTCGTCTTTGGAGTATTTTTTTCAATTCAAAAGCTTGGATAAGTTTTTGTTTGATTTTGTTTAACAGAATAAATAGATAGAAGAATATAAATTATTATTATTATTATTATTATTATTATTATTATTATTATTATTATTATTATTATTATTATTATTATTATTATTACACATAACAAAAGATTACATAAATCTTAAACATATAGTTTAACGCATATTGAGTTATTTCAAGCGTAAATTTATGTTCTCCTTTATTTTCAATATAGAATATTGAGTTTTAATTTTATTTTAAATTTTCGTTAT